GCATGCAGATCATCAACATGCGCCCTGGCCAGGCCATCAAGACCACCCAGGGCACCACCATCGCCCCCAGGATGATCCTCAACCCGGCTCAGGTTCTACCAGCAGGCATTAGGGCTGGACAACCCGGGGTAAACATCTCCTTCATATTAACTCCTGTAATACACACCCTATACCACTAACCCATGTCTGTACCACACTCCCTCTGTGCCTGCCTCTTACCACACAGTTACTGGTGTGTGGTGGACCTCACTCCTCCCTCACCTCACACTCAACAACCAATAATAATCTCTTGATTCTCTTTGTTTAATTCATTTGTTTTCACAGTTTTTTCCAGATGTAAACAAGCTTTGTTTACACTGTAGTTTTATCATAGTGACTAATCAGTTAATTATTGTGACATAATGGCCGACCTATAGTATGGTTATTGTTTTTCTTCTCAATAAATCACCTGTTTAACCTTTGCTCCTCATATACCTGTTATGTATTGGTCAGTCAATTGTTTAATAACATTTTTACATTGTTGGTCTTTATGGTTAACTCTAGCCTTGTTTACAGTAATAATAAACATGTAAATGTTTTTTTGTTTTAGGTATTTGTTTATAATAATTACTCAGGTTTTGCAACAGACTTTTCTAGAAGATATTTTTGCATTATTTCTTTGGGAAAAAATAGATTATTCAGTTTCTATATAAAGATTAGTGCCTAGTTTGTAGGTTATGGCACTGACAGCAATATTAAATCATTTCTGAAAAAGTACAAGAACCTAACTAACCTAACCTTAAACAATAGTATAGTACAGTACTGTAATTTCACTGCAGCCATTTATTAGCAGTGCTAGATGTATATAGTGCCTATTTATGTATTTAGCAAGATTTCATTAACAGTACTGTATGTTAATTTGTTTCATATCTTTTTTATTTGTTTAGTTTTGTTTCAGTAACAAATGATCATTAGTAATTCTGTAAGATATATTAGTCCAAATTTATGGTAAAACTACAATATTCTTATTCAATTCAAACAGTTACTTACTTTAGTGTACTTATTTAGTGTTGGCTAATGTGCAGCTATTTGTGTTACATAAGACCAACCCTTTGTTATTTTGGCTACACAATATTATTAGTGTTTTTATGCAGTTATCTACTTGCCAAATTGTTTGATTCTGTTGATGTTTGAGCTAATTTGAATTGTTACTAGAAGAATGTTAAAGAGGTTCAGTGTAACTTGGTGGTCTTGTTTTGGTTTAGTTTCTGATGGTCTCTCTCAGTGCTGGGAATTTTTTCTATTGATTTTACTTTCAAGACACAAAAGGTATATACGGGGAAAGATCAAATAAGTTTTCTCATATTTATTCATTGTTGTGTTCCCATGCTAAAGACTGAAGATATCTTTCCTTTCCATTCAGTCTTATTCATTAAAATTGTCATACAAGTTAAAATTGACTCAGTATGTGTATAGAATGACAGTGCAGGTACAAAAAAATAAATACAAACTTACACAATGCAGATACCATATACAAACAACGTACAGTACAGCCAGTGCGGGTATACTAACAATGGTAAACTAAAGCATTTCAATAAGGCTCACCAACAAAGACATCAGTTGGTTATTTCTAGTAGAGTCCTTTAAAATGGGATGAGTTGAATTGGTGGAGGTTATGTGACCAGCAATACATTGATGTTGGGAGTTTAAATGGTGCATGGTGGTGGTGACATTGAGTGTAGTGTCAAAACATTGATTATGGAAGTGTCTGTAGTGTGCTGAAAATTTCTGGTGATATTAATTGTTTTGATGGCCTTTTGTTTCTGTGCAGAAATTCAGAATAAAGGAGGGTAATTGCTGCAATACTGTAATATACTTAACCAAAAAGTGACAGTAGTATTTCATCTAAGAATGCGCTCTTAGTTGAATTTCTGTTAATATTTCATGTTAAGACTCGAATAATGGTAATGCCTATAATCTCAGTGCTCTATGACGACGAAAATTTATGTTGATTTGTGTAATAAATATATCATAGCAGTCACTAATTATTATGTAGCCTGTATTATGTTTTTGTGGCATTGAAGGAAGCCAAGTTGGATGCACGCTGCTCAGCTGTGTGTATAATGCCTTCCTATACAGTATAGCTAGCTAGCGAGGATATTGTTTTGCATTCAACATAGCAGGGTTGTTGATTGATATTTTTTTTTTAATTGGATTGTATTTCCATAAATTTTGTAAAGTTTAAATCAGAAATATTCCCTAGAACATTTACTGACAACTATTCCCAGTCTTCCCTTCCTACGGACTTGTTCTTTTGAAACTAAGGAACCGCCTTGGTACATAAAAAGCAGCAAAACTTGTCTCTCTTTATAAGTTTTTGAATGCAGACACTGGTCATGGTTATGGAGATGCTTAATTAAACCAGAACTTGTTTGCAAGGCGATTGTAGAAATTTGATTTTTATAAATATTAAATGTCATGTGTATCCAAATGTGTTGTGATTGACCATAGTTTTCATTGTCTTTAATACTTAATTATAACCCCTACATGTTTGAAGTAGTAGCACCGTACAGTAGAATAAAACCTGTAAAGTTTGAAGTTATGTTACTTTCTTAAACTTGTGTTTGTTGTTTCAGTTACAATACAATTACAGTAGTGTAATTTATGTTTTGAGAACAATGAACAGTGGATATTATGAGAGTGAAGATTTCTTGTGTTTAATTATGTAGTCTACTGTGATAAAGACTTAAGAAACTGTTTCTTTGGCTGATTATTTTTACAACATATAAGCAATTGTTTATTTTTGCAGTACAGTTCTTTCTTCCTTTTATATTGACCATATAAAAACCAAACCGTGATTTAAATCACTAATTAAAACAAAATAATTTGATTTAAATAAAACCACCCTGCAAAATTTCTTCTCATGAAATGGAAAATCAGAGTGAAGGATCTGTGAAGAGTTGAGTCATCTGCATTGGACTGAATAGGCCTAGAGGTGTTTGTCACTGAAAAAATTCTATGTGTAATACCATTACAGTCATGGTAGTAAAGTTTTTAAATACATGACTATATGCACAGTGAATTCCTTGAACTTAGTACCCTGTTATGGTTACGTTTCTTTGTGTTTTTTAGTAAATCTTTACTGTAATTTAGTGTAGCTATAGAATACAAATGTTGTAGAGTTACACAGAAAAATAATTTATATCAGTATTTATTAAGGAAAGAGAAACTGATTTTAGTGGGAACACACTCAGAAGCATTATTTATTGGCAAATTTGGCAGTACAGTACTCATTGTTGCTTCCTGTCACAAGTACTGTACTATAATGCTTAGTAAGTGATAGTGTTTGACTGTTCACTGAAGGCAGAGAGGCCATAACTTACTAAGAATTCTCACATTATACAATAAAATGATGATAATTCAAAATAATTAAGAGGAAAGTGGGTCCAAAAATGCACAGTAATTGTTTGAGAAATCTTATTATTTTCCTATTAAGTACCGGGCACAAAAGGAAAAAAATCTTGTACGTATTTATGAAGTAACAGCGGCAGGAGGTATAGTACACAATCCTTTTTTAGTCAAATTTATGAGTACTGTCCTGTATTTATGATGAAAATAAATTGCAATAAACATCAAATACCATAGTTAACAGCAAAAACACTATACAAGATAAGAGAAAATACAAGAGCAATGTAATACACTTGTTAAATAACCCTTGTTTTTATAGTAACGTGTTCTAATAATAATAATAATTAACGGTTTATTGAAAAAATTCTGCAGCCCGAAGGCTGAAAATATACATTGGACATAAATGACTTATTACATACATTGGTGGTTTAACAAAAGCCTTCATTAGAGAAAGGTAAAGGAACATACAGTGAACATACAGATTAATGTAGGTGTTGAACAGCAAACTCGTAGTGTAGTAACTCCCTCCCAGATGGTGTTAGGAGGAACTCACGTGGTGTAGTAGTTCCCTCAGATGGTGTTCTGAGGGACCTCACGTGGTGTAGTAATTACCTCACGTACGGAGCCCCACTTACCTGTTCACTAGCAGTATTTCTGGTCGTCTTTTCTTGATTGCCAATATATTATAAAATAGCTGTTCTTGAGATCAGATGCTACTGCAATTTCACCTTGTTCAACATGCTCAATGTTTCCTATTATAGTTGTTAGTGATCATAGGCTATACTTTCTTCCCTACTACAGTCGCTAATCCCTAGCAGAACCTTGAACATCACAACCACTAGTATTTTACTTATTATTGCAGCACATTGAGTGCTGTACTTTTGTGCATCTCTCCAAGATGGCCACCCCAGCTGACTCCTGGGGATGTGTGGTTGGAATTTTTGCTGGGACTCAAATTTGTATAAGCGGGGGAAGCTTTTATTAATTGAAAAATAAGTGTTAAATTGGAAAATGTGTTTAATACCTGTACCTGTATAAGATAATTTTCGTGTCTTGAATGTTCGTTAAGCAAGGGATTCCTGTAGAACGTCACTGGCTGCTATCTGTGTTCTGGTGGGCCACATCTCAAAACACGCCAACCACTGTACCTGTTATAAATGGTGGCAACTGTACCTGTGACTGGATCAGAGTTGTCGTGGCACTGTATACTGTACTTGGTAGCTATTGAAGTTGGAACTACCTGTATCAGTTTTTTCTTGCTAACTTGAATTAGTTTTCCTTTTTCCCCAGCAAATATGGATTCTGTGCATTAAAATATGTATTTAAAGAAAATCCCAAAGAAAGCAAACCATTATTAAGTTTATGGCATGTGTCTATATACTGTACATGCCTGTGGTGTAATGGTCAGCATTCTCACCTTGCAAGCGAGCTGACCCGAGTTCGATCCTTGGGCAGGGTGAACTATAGGCAAGTTTCTTTATGCCATTTGCCTCTGTCTACCTAGCAGTAATCGGGGACCTAGATGTTAACCAATTTGCGGATCGTGTTCCGGGGTAATGGTTAGCCAGTGCAGTTGGCTAGTTGTTGTCCGGTCTTCTTGGACTATTCCTTGACACTGGGTCATGCAACTCGTTAACTTGGGGTGTGGTTGTTGTGTTGGTGACAGCTTCTACACCTTAAACAAATTCACGCCTAGGTGGCCCTTGGCCCGGCCATCCTCGTTACACAAAGGGCAACCATTATTATTATATACTGTACATACAGTACCCCAAAAAATTGTGCCAGAAGGGCTATAATATACTGTAGGTTTAAATAATGTGACTTTATGATATGAACCAGCGAGATGAAATTACCCAAACCATCCTTATGATAATAATAATAATGGTTGCCCCTTGTGTAACGAGGATGGCCTGCCCAAGGGTCACCTAGGCGTGAATTTGTTTAAGGTGTAGAAGCTGTCACCAACACAACAACCACACCCCAAGTTAACGAGTTGCATGACCCAGTGTCAAGTAATAGTCCAAGAAGACCGGACAACAACTAGCCAACTGCACTGGCTAACCATTACCCCGGAACACGATCCACAAATCGATTAACAGCCAGGTCCCACCCATATTACTGCTGGGTAGACAGAGGCAAATGGTGTAATGAAACTTGCCCATAGTTTCACCCTTCCCGGGGATGGTACCCAGGTCCACTCTCTTGCGAGTGGTCGCCTTATGATAGTACCATAGCAAAGTAACAGAAGTACTGGTAGCATGTACTGTACTGTATAGTAGCGCTTCACCCAGCGACAATGATTAATATAAAGTAAAATTATATACTGTATTGATTATTCTAGCCTAAATCATTTTTTGGGGGAGGTTATCCCAGTACAATAAATATTTACTTTATAGTCAGGTTTTAAATTATATACCCCACTATACATCTGGTAACTTGTGAGTGTGGCAAAATTAAAAAAAAAAAAAATAACAGAGCTACTGCCCATATAATAAACCAAGCAATTTTGTGTAATATCAATGCAATAAGGTTTGTTTAAGGGAAAAAGAGTGATTCTTTGTTTTTTTGGATGGAGTTTTTAGTTAGTCAGTTCTGCTATAACGCGATAGTTGTGTTCTTGTAAAACATCGTGTTATAGAAATTCGCGCAATAGAAATAACAGGGCTTATGGAGAAAATAGGGTTAGGTGCAGATTACTCGAAATAAAAAAAAATTTAGTAGTTACCCTAACACAAAGGATAGCACAGTCTAAATAAATGTTACATTCATATCTAATAATGAATTCATACAGTAAATGTAACACTTTACCTTGAAAAAATATGAATATAACTTGAAGGGGGACAAGGGTGATTTTGAGGTTGATAACATCGAGCTTCTCTTTAAGTGTTATAGCCTTTCTTTTGCGATCATCACCGGGAATGCGATCACCAGAACCCTTCTTGGAGATATTCTTCTTTACCATATTCACAGTTAATACCACAAAATTGGAGAAATAGTAAGCAAAAATCGCGTTATAGCAAACAAGCGTTCGCGTTTTACAAATATCGTTTTTCTATTCATAAATTGCGTTAGAGCCAATTCGAGTTGTCAAAATGCGTAATAGCAGAACTCGCTGTAGTTTCAACTTGTGCACACTCGAAGGAAAACAATTGGAAATGAAATTCTGTGTTCTGTTTTGATTCCTAGAGCTTTAGAAATGTTATGTGGTTTGGTTGTGATATTGAAGTTTGTCTGTTTATTGTTATGCAGTAGTGATTTGGGAACCATTTTATCCTCACTCAAGAGTTAGTCCTAACTTATTAACAGATAGTTACTGTATCTGGCTGAGAGTTGGAAAATGGCAAGGGAATATATTTTTGTCTTTTCTGCAGGATTACAGATTTTGGTAATTTGTTTTATCTTAATAGCTATACAGCCCAGCTGGGCTACCTAAAAAGAAAGTTTTATATAATTTTTGTATTTGTTAATACTTTTTTGGACAAGGTGGTAAAAGTACTGTACAGTATACTGTACTGTAAATATACTGTACAGTATTGAATATGATTTTTTGGAGTCTTTTAATGAACATAATTAGAGTGAAGAGTGGCTGAACTTGTACAGTTAAACCTCCATATAATGGACTCTGATCTAATGTTTATAGTCCAAACTTTTCTGTCTTCACATGAGAGTTAATGGTATGGGATGTACCAGGTAATTTAGTAACTTTTCAGCATGCTGACAGTATTTTTTAAACACTATACAGTACAGTACTTTGGCAGTGAAAGACTCAGAGATTTGATAGACTGCATTTAGGAATATTCTCTGGGGTTTGAAAATTATCATTTGAAATGGTCCTGTATATATTGTACTATATAGCACATAAGTATACTTCAAGTGTTAATAGTCTTTGGTTCTGATTTTTTTGTTTTTTGTTTTCAGCAAATTACCCTTGGTTCTCTGCAAGGACTACCTCCTGGGGCACAGGGCCACTTACTGGTAAAAACGGAGAATGGTCAACTTCAGTTACTCCGTGTCAACACTGCAGCTGCTGCCCCTGGCCAGCTATCTGCCAATGTTACCACTACTACGGCATTGCAACAAGCTCCTAATGCCTACAGATTCCAGCCCCCACAAGTTAGTGCCTTAAATTTTAATGTCTCTATTACTGTAGTAACATAAAGTATGGTAGAGTACTCGAAGAAAAGTGTGAAATTTTTTTATGCAGTATTTAAACTTCTTGCCCGTTTTTATATACTGTACGTGTTACGTGTTCTTTCTTTACACCCACAATCACCATCCACCCCCCTCCCCTTCCCCTTTTTTTCAGAATAATGGAATATAATGTACCGTAAGTTTGAAGGCATTATACATTTATTTTTAATTACCATAGTTACTGGTACATTCTGTGTATTTTTTGATAATTATATTAGCAAATGAAATTATTATTGTTACTGTTTAAGGAAATTTTATCCCTTAAAAACAAATTATCAGGTCTTCTGTTAGGTGTTCTGTGGGATTTTGAGTTAAACATTAGAAATCCTCCAACAAAATACTAGTAACCTTTTACTTGGGGTGGGGTGTAGGCATTCACCCCACCCCCCCACACAGATTGTCCCCCTCCTGTTATTGTGTTATAGAAATTGTAACCTTGACACCTTGATGAATGGCACAGAATACTTCATTGGAGAGTTGTAAGGTATTCAGTATGCTAGACACTAGAGTATATATTTTTTATGCCAGTCCTATTCCTTTCTCAGTTTTGATTAGCCTGTTCACTTTCTACATATATATAGTACTGTATTTTCTTTCACCAAACAAATACTGTATATGGCAACCAGTTTGTTAGAAATTTTGTTTAACCTGTTGTGCCGGCATTTTTTGTTTCTTGAAAATCAATAGTTACTGGTACTGTATATAGAAAAAGTGTTCACCTCTTCTCTGTGTGTGGATGTACAGTCACCCAAAAAAGTCCTGTTGCGAACCATTAACCCCGAGATTCAGACTCTTGAATCCGAAGCATTTATGGACAGAATAATGTATCAGTGTCTACTGCTTCGGGTTCACGAGTCTGAATCGTGGTTCGCGACAGGACTTTTTTGGGTGACTGTACCTATACAGTATGTTAGATGACGTATAATTTACTTGGGTATTAAAGTACTGTATGTTCATGTGTCATTAAAGTACTGTACAGTGTTGCATTACTGTATTATACTCGAGTTTGAATTTTTTTTTTTTGTACACTTTTACAACTTGTAATTCTTATTAGTTTTGACACTGGACTACAAACTGTCAGCCACCCACCCACCAACTGCTAGGCCATTGCTGAGCATGCTATGTGACCTGTAAATTTTTTTTATACGTTTGGCCATAGAATCCGTTCTAAGTAAGGAAGGTTATCATTGAAAAATAAATTTTGAAATTTTTTCTGCGTAATGTTTTTTTTATAAATATACGTATATGAAATCATGAATTGAAAACAAAACAGTTACTACTGTATAGATATGTAAAGGTTTGTTAAATTTTATTTTAGTCATTTATAGAAAGCAAGTGTTTCCCAGAAAGAATCATTTGTCTCATTAGTCTAAATAAAGTTATTTAGAAAAATAAATCATAAGAAAGGGTTCAGAAAGAAATAGAATAAAAGAAAACAAAATAAGATACAAGACGTTGATTGGAATCCACAGAAAAATACTTTGATGAAACTGTTTTATAAAGTCAGAGAAAAGAAGATTTGTATTCACTGTGTCAACATGTACTGACAGGCAAGGGAGTTTCAAAAAACATTATGATCAATTAAAGTGGTAGAATAGTTCTTTCCGTGAAATGAGTAAATATTCCAAAGTGTTAAAATTGTTTATCTGTTGTATCAGTGTGCATTTATGCAACCATTGATATAAGCATCAGTTTTGGGGCCATTTCCCTGACAGCAGTCTGGAGGTGACTTGACAAGAAAATGGGCTTAAACCTGTAGCTAAGCTTTTTGATGAAATTGACCCCATAACTCTACCTCCTGTAGGATACTAAATTACCGGGTAACTTGTTTTCACAAGCAAATTGGTTATGCTTGAATTTTGGTTACTCCAAAGGATTTGGACTTTGAACTTGTACGTCTGTAGCAACTTACTGTATTTTGTATGGTGACTGTTGGCCAGTTCTGCTACATTCCAAAACATTACTGTTACCTTTATTCAACTTAGAATTGTCTGTGGATGTTGCACTTCCTAAAATTATGCTATGTGCAAGACATTCATACCTGCCATTTATGCATGTCACAAGTTATCATAGTTGGGTGTGATCCTCCAGCATATAACCAGCTTTGAACTTTTTAACCTTATGATACATTCACTCATGATGAGGTCTTTACAACTATATTAGGATCAACACGATTATTGCATGTGATATGTAATATAAATTGCAAGCTCTTTTTGGGTAATGTTTCCTGGACTAAATCTATGAATTTTGGTGAGTGAGATGACACTATCTTGTCTCATGTAATGGTTGATCTCTTTCAAGTCACCAAATTTGTAGTTGATTACTGCATCACACATCTGTTTAAGGTTACTACTTCTCACCCAGATGCCCGGTAGAGGCTATGTTAATCTCTCATTTGGGAGCCTCTTGACAAATCCTCTCCTTGCAGATACAGTACAGTATTACTGTATATAGTGTACTGTATTTAGGAACCATATATGGAAAATGTGGCAGTAGCACAAAATATTGAAAACGGGGGCAAAATTAGCAATATCCATAAATTTAAATGCAGCTCCCCCCCAACTTACGACGGGGTTAGGGACCCAAATCCAGGTCATAAGTCGAAATGGTCATAAGTCGGAAATGCTTAAGTAATACATAGAAAATCTAAAATGGGTGTCATTGTTTCTTCTCAGCACCACAAAACTCTCACTTTTAAGCTTGCCAGCCATTTTAAAGTGAATTACAAACAAAAATTTTGTCAGTACACAGCGCAATCACTGACGTTGGGACTCGAAAATACGTAATTTGACAAAAATTTGGTACGACTGAGGCAGGTCGTAAGTCGGGGAGGGGCTGTAATAGTTATGAACATTGACAAAGATTATAATAACAGGCAACTTCACCACTTAAAATCTTCTAATCAAATGACCGGTGACGCTCAATGCCAGTTTGTCAACTTTATTTGAAAAACTTCGTACGTTCAACTATTTATGGCTTGATCTCCAACCCTTCTTAATCTTGATACTGAGAATCATCATAATCACCATCCACATTTTACGGCCATTTTCCACACTTGCATGGGTTAATTGTGATTACCTGATGGCAGCACTCTATGCTGTGTGGCCTTTTGCAGTCTCCTTTGTCAGATTCTTAATTCTGGTGCCATTTCTTATAACTTCTTTCCATGTCATCTTGGCCCCCTCCTATCCACACTTAGACTCCAGCATCTGTTAACTCAGTTGGTCTCCTCTATTCTACCTTAATGCTGAGCTTTGCCAATACCCTCAATACTCGGCTTCCCTCTTGGCTCTGGACAGGATTATGTATCTTTTGATGTTACTATACACATTTGCCTCACCTTTTTCATTCCATCTTGCTCAATCCTATGTATGTTATCTTATTTATTTACCCATGTTTCATTGCCATGCATCATTATATATATCGTGCTAGTTGCATACATCTTTCCTTTCAAGTGAAGGGAAGGCGGCTTGTACCATAATAAAAAATTTCAATAATGGTCTTCTTATTTAAGTAAAGATTTTTTCTTAATATTTGCCAATACTCTGTACAGTACAGTATATAATGGAGATAATGTCTTTCATTACAAAAATAGACAACAAGCAGTCAGTGAATGTAGATCTGCTTGAACTCACTCACTCACCCGGCCCAGTGTTCATTGTTATAGCATGAGTGTACAGTACTTTACTCACATTAATACTCCCATTCTCTCATAAAAGTAACCCAGTTTCCCTTGGTCAAAACTAGTATTAAGTTTTAGCCTCTCACTGCCTCTGAGAGGTAGTTGCCAACCTAAACCAATTGTGTCTCGAGTCTACTCCAGCCTTTACATGACTTATGTGCGAGTGGAATTTGCCTTAGTAAACCCACAGAAAAAGGGGGGATTCCACTAATAATGGCAAATCACCCCTAGCCACAAAACTGTGGTGTGTCACCCAGGTAGCCACTAAGCCAGGGGTGGGCAATTATTTTTGATGGAGGGCCACTTCATGAATGGTGGCACACTTCACGGGCTACAGGTTAACAGCGACGAGCCAGTATTGCTGCTATGTCCACCCAACTTCCAAAATTGTCCTTTCTGTAATTAATAAGAATTTTTTTTTCTGATTGCCAAATGCAGTGGCGGGCCACAGAAATAATTTGGCGGGCCAAATGTGGCCCGCGGGCCGCACTTTGCCCACCCCTGCACTAAGCTGTGGTGTGACACCCAGGTAGCATCTAAATAGTATGTTGCACATCCATGAGGTGACCAAGTATATTATACAGTAATTGTTTTGCTTGTTAGGCCGAGAGTTGTGGTGGGTACATACTGTGCTTAGCTACTCCCTCATGTAAACTGTGACCACTTATTGTATATATCTCGATGGTAAATTGCCACTTGTAACAATTTTAGCAACTGCAAATTGCATAAGTAGCTAAAGAATTCCTGTAATACAGATTGTTCATGAAGTATTTATGAGGAAATTAAATATGTTAGCTAAGCTATTCATAGTTGAGACAGAAGGCAGTTTTGGTATATACAGTATATTTTTTTCTTGCCTAATTTCTTTAGAGTGGTTAGTTTTACTTGTTTTTTCAATAACACAGTCTTTCAAAGTGCTGTGCAAAAATTACCATTAATTACATGGAGTCCAACAACAGTTACTTTAAATGAAATGGTGAATTGTGTTTACTGAAGTTAAGCTGTAAGTGGATTAGTAATTATTCTATCTGCCAAGCTGTACTAAGTTGCCAGAAATTGTAAGCTTCAAAGCATTGTACACCCACCACAAAAAGGTCTCGAACGCTCTAAGGGTCATACAATATGACAAAACGAATGAGAAATCTGAACATTGCTCTGAGGAAGTGTAAATGCTATAAAGACGAGCAACATAGGTTATTACCGTATTTTGTGGCGTAGAAGACGCGCTTTTTATTAAAAA